GAAAAGTAGAGTCGAAAGCTTTTTAGTTCAAAACGACATGAAAAAAGGAGTCGAAAGCTTTTTGGTACAAACTGACTAGAAAAAGAGGATCGAAAGTTAGCCAATGGCGTGACGTCGTTTTGGGCCAATCAGAGAGCCGCATTGAGTTAAAAGCAACCAATGGGCTTTGACGGCGCGTGAAGCAAACTAAAGAAAGAGAGAGAGGGGAAATTTATGTGTGTGTTTGTTTGAGTGGTATTGGGTTCATTCTACTATTTGACTGTCGAGCTGAGCAGACGTATTAGAAGCTAAAAGAAGAAAATGGCCCGTACGAAGCAGACTGCCCGTAAATCCACTGGAGGCAAGGCCCCAAGAAAACAGCTGGCCACCAAGGCTGCCCGAAAGAGCGCCCCAGCTACCGGCGGTGTAAAGAAACCTCACAGATACCGACCCGGAACCGTGGCTCTGAGAGAAATCCGTCGTTACCAGAAGAGCACCGAATTGTTGATCCGAAAACTTCCCTTCCAACGATTGGTGAGAGAAATCGCTCAAGACTTCAAGACTGATCTTCGATTCCAGAGCTCAGCTGTCATGGCTCTCCAAGAAGCCAGTGAGGCTTATTTGGTCGGTCTTTTCGAAGATACCAACTTGTGTGCCATCCACGCCAAGAGAGTGACCATTATGCCCAAGGACATTCAATTGGCCCGAAGAATCCGAGGCGAACGTGCTTAAAAAGTGCAGTTCTTGCAATCAACAAAAAAACGGCCCTTTTCAGGGCCATCCAAAATCTCANAAAAGAGTGAAAAAAGTCTTTATCTTGAAACAAAGTACGAAGTACAAAATCCCCTCCTGTCCCTCTTTCTTGCCATTTCCCCTGATTTCGCTTCAAAATAGAACAGCTCGTAGTAAAAAGCTGACGAAAAAGCCCTGGTCTAGTCTAAACCTTGAGTGTAAAAAACACACCATTGACCACGTTTATAATAATTGATTCTCCTATATTGAGGTATGGAATGAGTAAAATGAATGAATGAATGAATGAATGAATGAATGAAACCTAGCCCTAACTTAACCGTGAAGCCATGTGCAAAATACACCGACCGAACGTCTATGTTGATTACCGCCAATGACCGGATTATCCTACAGGTCTAATCAATTTACTTAGAAACACTAGGCGAGAATATGGGATCACAATACGG